TCTACAGTTATTTTAAATGGGATATCTCTTACTATCTCTTCTTGCAGGGTTTTGTTGGTGACATATAGAAATGCTGATAATTTACATGGGTTTATTTTATACCCTGCTGCTTTGCTAAAATTATTGTTTCAACTAACTTTTTAGTTGAGTCTCTAGGATTTTCCAAGTATATCATCATTATCTGCAAAGAGAGATCGTTTTATTACCTGTTGCACATTCTGATTCTGATCCTGGTGATAATGGACATCCTTGTTTCAGTCCTGATCTTATTGAGAAGTTTTCTATCTTCTCTTCTCCCTGTTACAAATAATGCTTGCTGGTGGTTTTAGGTAGATACTTCTTATCATTTTAAGGAAAAAAAATCCATATATAACTATGCTTTTGAGTGTTTGTAATAGGAATGAACCTTGTATTTTGTCAAAAAGCTTTTTCTGCATCTATCAACATAATCATATGATTTTCGTTTCTTTGTTATTGATATGATCAATTAAGTTCATAATTTTCCTTATATTAAACCATCTCAGCATGAATTGTTCTATTTTTGTCTTTGTATCTCCTCACCTAGCACTGTCCCTTAAATATTTTAAGAATTTAATAAATGCTTGTTGAAGTGAATTGGAATCAAATCCCTTTTCCGAGGAGGGAGCCCCACTTTTCTCCCCCCAGGAATGTCCTAATCGTTGGCGCATATTGGCATTTCCTCCCTCATCCCCCTTTCCCCTTCCTGCTGCTGTCAAGTCCTTTGATGTCACCTATATACCATTGTGAGCTGACAGCCCTGCCCAGGCCCTAATGGACACAGTCTATGATAAGGGAGTGATGGTGGCACGGGAACTCAGTGACCATCCCAGAACCATACAATTAGGCCAAGCCAGTATGAGGTACCTATAATGCCATCAAGCCTGCACTTCCCAGGATCCAATGACAGACATTAGGGGCCTCCCACCCATCATGGTTGGTGAACCATACCCTGGAGTGGCCCTTGGGGTGGAAGAAGGTCTACTCTGCCAGCTGCTTCATTCTCCAGAGTTCAACCTATTTCCCAATTCAGCTGTCTTTGAAAGTAACTTCATCCAGGTACTTTTTCCCTGTTCTCCAGGTCAACTCTTGTTTGAGAAAGGAGAGCTCTCTCCAACCCCTATACCCAGGAGAGGACTGAGAGACTCACATTAGTTTTGGAATTCCTAGAGGGGAGGGGGATGAGGGAAGTGTGGGGTTGAGTTCTGAATTCTCCTCAAAGTAATTGAACCACTTACAGAGTTTTGACTGTGTAAGAGCATCAGGTCTGAACCACTGGGAAAAAGTTCTTTCGTTTTGAATCTCTACACTTGCTCCTACCTTCTCTCTTTGCCCTGCCTACCCTTCCACCCTACCTTTCTGAACTATGTGCCTAAATGAGATAGCTGGAGGGTCATGAAATTAAGACTCAGTTAAAAGTTAATGCTAGGGCAGCTAGGTGGCACAGTAGATAAAGCTCCAGCTTTGGAGTCAGGAGGACCTGTGTTCAAATCCGGCATCAGACACATGACACTTACTAGCTGTGTGACCCTGGGCAAGTCACTTAACCCCAATTGCCTCACAAAAAAAGAAAAAAAAGAATTGTAAAAAAAAAAAGTTAATGCTAGAGCTATGCCTTCGAATTCTACCTTCCACTATTGGGAGTGTTTTGGAAAGTCTTCCTGGAAGGTCAGGGATGGATAATATCAGATATGCATTGATTCTACAGGTCCATAGAACTTTTTTTCTCAACATCAGGGGGAAATTCTCATCATGGTATAACCCACAAAATTGAACCTTAGTGGCTTAAAGAAATACTATAACACTATGGGTTTGGGATACTGGTTTGGATTTGTCTTCAAAGTCTTGTATGCTGCTTGCCAGAGTCCTGAGTCAGTGAGTCTATATAGTACAGTCATATTTTTTAAATTTATGGAATAAAACAAACATTTCCATAACATAGTACAATAATGATTACACATGAAACTTTAAATCTACTATGCACAACTTGCTATTTCTTTCAAATTTACAACAAAATTATCAGGTAATTTTTTTCCTTTTTTTCTTCCCTATCTGCCCCCACTCTAGAGATGGCTATCACTAGACACAAATAAGCATATATATATATATATATACACACATACACACACATATACATATATACACACACACATATATACATATAAATATATATACATAAATTTATCCTATACATACTTCTATTTATCAGTTCTTTCTCTGAATGCAGATAACATTTTTCTTCATATGTCCTTTATGGTTAATTTGGGTATTTATAATAGTCAAAATAACTTATTAACTCAAAGTCATTCTTAAAACAATACTGCTCTTACTGTATACAGTGTTCTCTTGATTTTGCTCATTTCACTCTTCATTAGTTCATGCAAATCTTTCCATGTTTTGCTAAGATCATTGAGTTCATCATTTCTTACAGCACAGTAGTATTCCATCACAATCATATATCACAATATTCAGTCATTCCCCAATTGATAGATATCCCTGAAATTTCCAGTTCTTTGCCATCACAAAGAGAGCTGCTAAAAACATTTTAGAACATATAGATTCTTTTCCTAATCCCTAATATGATCCCTAATTATCTTTGGAAATAGATCTAGTAGTGATATTGCTGGGTCAAAGAGTATAGGCAGTTTAATATCTCTTTGGGTTTAATTCCAGATTGCTCTCCAAAATGGCTGGAACAGTTCACAGTTCCACCAACAATGAATTAGTGTCCCAGTTTTTCCATATCCCTTCCAACATTTGTTGCTTTTCCCTTCAATCATTTTAGTCAATCTGGTAGGTGTAAAATATCTCAAGATTGTTTTAATTTGCATTCAATAATTGATTGCAATGATTGCATTGCAATCAATAATGATTTAGAACATTTTTTCATATGACTATAAATTGTTTTGATTTCTTCATTGGAAAACTGCCTGTTCATATCCTTTGACCATTTATCAATTGGGAAATGACTCATATCCTTATAGATTTGACAAAATTCTCCATATATTTGAGATATGAGACTTTTATCTGATAAACTGTCTACAAAAATTTCCCCCCAATTTTCTGCTTTCCTTTTGATCTTGGCTATATTTCTTTTATTTGTACAGAAACTTTTTAATTTAATGTAATTGAAATTATCCATTTTACACCTAACTTTCCTTTCTATCTCTTATTTATTTACAAATTGTTCACCTGTCTATAAGTCTGATAAGTAACATGTTCCATGTTCTTCTGATTTTCTTGTCTCTCATCATATCTAGGTCATATATCTATTTTGATCCTATCTTGGTAAATGGTAGAAGATATTAGTCTATGCCCAGTTTCTGCCTTATCACTTTCCAGTTTTCCCAACAATTTTTACCAAGTAATGAATTCTTATCCCCAAATCATAAGTCTTTACACTTGTCAAATACAAGGTTATTATATTTATTTGCTGCTGTAAATTCTATGTCTACTCTATTCTATTGATTTACCTTTCTAATTCTCAGCCAGTACCAGAGAGTTTACTGCTTTATAATACAGTTTAATATCTGGTACTGCTAAATCTCCTTCCTTTGCATTTTTTCATTATTTCCTTTGATATTCTTGACTTTTTGTTCTTCTAAATAAATTTTGTTATTTTCTAATTCAGTGAAATTTTTCTCATAATTTAATTGGGATGGCATTGAATATATATAAATCAGTTTAAGTAAAATTGTCATTTTTATTATATTGGCCCTGTCTATCCATGAATAATTAATATCTGCCCAATTATTTAAATCTGATTTTATTTGTATAAAAAGTGTTTTATAGTTATGTTTATGTGATTCCTGGTTTTGTTTTGTTTTGTTTTTTGGCAGGTGTACTCCCAGGTATTTTATACTGTCTATAGTTATTTTAAATGTATAGTGCAGTTTTAATCAATCAATCAACAAACATATACTAACAGTGTAATTGGGCATTGCACCAGATGCTAGGGACATAAAGAGAGCTCTCTCAATGCTTACAGTTTAGTTTGGGCAAGAAAACACATAGATGAAACTTTATTAATCTAGAAATATAAGATATTACATATAAGGAGGTTGGATAAGTGGGATCAGTAAAATTCCTTCCAGTAACAGGATTCTATGACTCTAAGAGAAATGCTAAATAAGTGGACCCGGCAATAAGCATTATGAGCTCAGAAGAGATGAGAATCTGCTAGAAAGTGAGATAGATCTTAAAGATTCTTGGAAAGTGGCTACTATTGCAAACTTTATTTAAGGATACTTATCAAAATAAGCATGTTAACCTTCAGGGTTGGGGTCAGGGCAGGACTCACCATTCCCTGGAGGGCTCCCACTCAGGAAGAGTCCCCGAATGTTAGTGTATTGTTTGTAGTGGGAGCTGCTGGGTTAAGAAGTATCAATTGACTAGGGGCGACATGCTTTCATTTATATTTGATGAAGCAGATCCCTTATTATTTATTCTTGGGAAGTTTTGCAGAGAGAGCTTAGGATTTATTATTGATTGGGTAACATATACCTAGAAATTTCACCACATTTTTCACTGAATTTCAGCAAGCGGGCAGATAGTAGCCATAATTTATCTAATGGATAGCTATCATGGGGCAGAGGTCTCAGGTAGCACAGACAGCCATGAGATCAGCCTCAGAAATCTGTCAGTTGGTATAAGAGAAGTCAGTGTGGGGTTACAAATTTGCTGCAGATAATTAACTTGTAGATATTGCCTAGTAATTGCCTAATATTAATTCCCTAGTACTTAAGAATATTCATTACTTCAATTGAGTTCCCTGTTCAACCAACTTGATTCCCCTCATTCCTTCTTACAGCAGTAACACCGTTATTAAACACTCACCAAGCAATTTCTGCACTGGGACTTCACG